GAGGGAGGAGGGGTGCGGATATAAATAACATTCAAACATTTACAGAATAACAACAACAACAACAACAACAAATGTGAGTACTTCATGGTCCCCGCGGGGAAAGAACGCAATTTTCAAAAAATCAGATTTATGGTCCTTCCGATGGGCGGTTAGTAGGCTCATCTTTACAAACAGTTTTACCCCTTTGATGCCACTATAGCTATAAAAAAGAACAGTAATAGAAAAAGAAAGACTGCAACAATAGTTACTATAATTTTTGTAGGATTTTGTCGCTTTTCAACCCAAAATATCTTACTAGGATCCAATTTCAGAAGAAACAGTTGACAGCTGGTGAATTCACGGGAATTGTCTTCATAAGGGGCTCATTTAAGAAAATATCAGTGTGCTTTAAACGGCTTCCAACTGTTGTTTTGCAAAGCACACACAGTTCTTAACTTTCTACCTTCGTGCTTTTGCTGCCTAGATTACAATGATTCAAAAGTGTCGACACACTGAAAATATAACCTCTCTGTTCTGATGCCAGTTAATCCATCAAGATACCAAGCGCACGATTCATCAAGAAGAACCATTCCTTCGGTTCTGTTTGCACTTTTTGGAAAAATACCCAGCATTCTCATTTTGTAACAAAACGTTCAACGATGTTCCACGTGTTCTATTTATAGCCAAACACCCTTGAACGTGCTTTCAGCTGGTGAAAAGAAAAACAAAATTGACCTTGCGAGATCTGCATCTTTCTCCCACAAGGATGCGGTGTAGAGATTTCGCGCACTCAAGGCTGAGCGTTGTTGATCTCCTGGCTATTTCGTAGCTTCAGAACAGCACTCTGCGCTAAGGGGTAATTTAGGATTTCAAAGTTGGAGCCAGTCTGACCTCTTGCGCTTTAAGCAGCACATCCTGTGTGATTTGAATATTTCAAACTTGACTTTTGTAGTCTTTGCATGAAGCAGACAATCTATTTATTTATTTATCCATTCATTCATTCATTCATTCAATTACTCGGGTATAGGTGGTTGGGAGAATACACACTCATACACACACACACACACACACACACACACACACACACACA